TGGAGGAGAGCTCCCGATCAGCACAGGTGCTCAAGGCAGCCCCCCACCCCGGGCTGGGCTTGCTGGGGACCAAGACGGAAATCAGACTGTGGGGGCCTGTGAGAGGCGAGGGACCCTCAGACTGCAGGGTAGGAAAGAGGCATATCAGGGAGGGCCTCGTGGAGGTGGTGAGCTGAGCTGCCGGTAAGGACAGCAGAGGATGTGGTGCCCGATGGCGAGCCCAGGCTTCATGTCCTGGTGAGATCAGTGTGGCGAGGTCCGATATCTGGGGGCGCCAGGGAATCTGAGGGTCTCACTCTGATTTTTAAAAAGGATGTGTAGAGTATAGTTGGCTGATTAACAACCTCCCCCTCAACATCCTCGTCCTAGTTCTGGAATGTGTGAATGTGTCACCTCACCTGGTAAAAGGGGAACGAGGCAAAGCCCCCGAGGCGGGGGTGGCCCTGGGGCCCCGGGGGGGGGGGGGGGACCAGCCCTGCCCAGGCCTGGGCGTTAGGACTTCTGACCCCAGAGCTGTCAGAGAATCGATGTGTGTGGTTTTAAGCCCTCAGTTGGTGGTGATTTGTCACATTGGCCCCGAGGGACTCCCACTTAGAATGATGTCAAGGTTCAGTATGTGGGTCAGTGACGTGGGGCGTGTGGCCACGTAAATTCCGTCCAAACGCACGGATCTCTGGCTCATGCTGAAGCATTTCAATACCCGCAACCGGCTTTGCAATAAAAATCCAGGGGGTCGCCTGGGTGGCTCCACTCGGTCGAGTGTCTGACTCTTGATTTCAGCTCAGGTCGTGATCTCACGGTTCAAGGGTTCCAGCCCCACGGCGGGCTCTACACTGACAGCGCAGAGCCTGCTTGGGATTCTCGCTCTCCCTGCCTCTCTGTCTCCCTCTGCCTCCCTCAAAATAAATAAACTCTAAAAATAAAATAAAAAGTAAACATAGGAAAAGCTTGGGTCCCCGTTCATCAGGTCCACCTGGCCCTTTCTCCCATCCTCACTCCCAGGAACGAGACAGCAGGAGGGTCTTGGCCCCTTGAGCAGGGAGACGGGACCTAAGCAGTCACCGGCCATTCTGAACACGTGTCACCCAGCCCGGCTGTGCGTCAGGCCCAAGGGAGGCTTCAGACGGCTGCAACCTGGCCACGGATCCACACAGGCGTCTGCGGCCGTGCGATAAAGCACGGGACACCAAACCGTGCTGGTGATGTGGTGACAGGCCGGTAAACACGCGGGTTCAAACAACCGGAGGGGGCGTCGACCAAGAAACGGGCGCGGAGTATCTCACACGGGCCAACTGTGTCTTTGTCT